GGGGCCGCAGGGGGGCCACAGTTTCCTCACTTAGGATAAGTTCACAAGGACGTAAAAGGCCAACATACACCTACGCAGTGTGACTAGACATGCGGGCTGTGGAGAAATTGGGTTCGGTCCGGATATTTCGTTATTTCGGGATTCGGATCCGAAATTCCATTCGGTTCGGGTTTTGGATTCGGACGAAATCTTAATTTTTGTTCGTTTCGGATAAGTTTACAAATATTCATTGTGAATATCACAGAAAACCAGATACATATATAATACTAAGGCTCTGCTCACACCTGGGCATATCGAATATGCGCGTTTGTTGTGCGTTTTTACCGCGATTCGCGGTTTAAAAAACCGAGCGACAAACGCGCGTTTCCGAGGGCTACTTGGCTGTATCCTAATGGAAACGCGTGACAAAAACGCCGCAAAGAAGCTCCTGTACCTTTTCAGGCGTGGGCTGTTTTGTAGCGCGTTCAGACGGGCTGAAATACGGCAAGGTGTGAACCAGACCCATAGTAAACAATGGGATTTTCATGTTTGAGCGTTTTGTAGAGCGTTCGTAGAGCGTTGAACGCGCTACAAAACTTACAGGTGTGAACCAGGCCTTAAGCTGAGGCTCCCAGACCCGAATGGCATTCAGGATCAGAATTTCTCCGTATTGCATTCAAGAGCTCCCAAATGCCATTGGGGTCTGGGAGCCATATACATATAATACTAAAGCTGAGGCTCCCAGACCCGAATGGCATTTGGGAGCTCTTGAATGCAATTCGGAAAAATTCTGATCCTGAATGCCATGCGGGTCTGGGAGCCTCAGCTTAAGTATTATATGTAGACACCGAGTGGCCGGATTATTATATACACTGAGTGGCCGGATTATTATATACACTGAGTGGCCGGATTATTATATACACCGAGTGGCCGGATTATTATATACACTGAGTGGCCGGATTATTATGACCACCTGACGTTTGTAGGCAAATTAGCTATAATTTCGCGCTGAAGTTGGAGGGCCAGACCATTATAAATAGGGAAGCGGGTAGGTTACCACGACAGTAGAAGTGATTTGTTTCTGAAGATACGGGGAAACAACGCGATGTAACAGCCTTTGAACGTGGGATGATTGTTGGCGCTCGGAGCCACGGAGCGAGTATCAGCAAAACAGCAGAATTCGTTAAATGTTCAAGAGTAGCTGTTGTTAAAGTGTTTAAAGACCGGACTGTCAGCCGCAAATCTGGGTCTGAGCGTGCGAATTGTGGCCGTCAGCGACTAGTCAATGTTAGGGCAGAACGGGGGAGGGGCAAGACTGGTACAAGACAACAGAAGGGCAACAGTGCCGTGTCAGATTCCTCGCATCGCCTTTCACCATCTCGTGGCGTCACGAGGCGGCCCAACGAAGTACTGATGGGGTGGTCATAATAATCTGGCCACTCAGTGTATACTGCATAGGGCTCCCATGTTGCCGTAACGAGAATTCGTGTTCAGACCCATTCTGATGCATTAAACCGAAAAACACATCTGATTGGCCAGAAAAGTCACATGTACGATCCAGTTTAGTTTTTGAACGAAATTCGGACGGGATCCGAAATCTGGAGACGGAGATTCGGATTTGGACAAACTCAGATGCATTGTCATTCGGAATGTGACCGAATTTTTGGAAAATTTGTACAAATTTTGATTTGGAACAAAACGAATTGCACAGGTCTAATTGTGACAGCATGTGTTGACGCATTTCGGTGACGCTCATTTTGAATAACATTCCAGCGCTCTAAGCCAAAGTACCGCAACACACCACATTCTGTAACATGTCTGATTTTTGGGACGTTTTAATGCGTGGGAAGCCCGATAAGTTTAGCATGACACGGGACATACATAGACACACATCGGGGTCCTGATACTAAACCGCCTAGAGTGTTAGTTTTGTTATACAGCAGATGCGTTTTAGATTCGGACATGGTAGAAAACGAATTCTCAAGGTTTTTGTACCGAAATTTCATACAAGAAATCTGGTCCGAACATTCGATAACGCCATCCGAGACTTCAAAATCTCCCTCGACTCCAACATTCGATTTTGGAGTTTCCCGAGAGAACGACATTCAATGTCAAGGTGCCCATACACCTGCCGATTACCGTACGATAGTTGTGGGTGATCCCGCGATCGTACGATAATCGGCAGGTGTATGGGCAGCGTGCGACCG